AAACTAACAAAAAAAAAAGCTTCTGCACATGGAAGAAGAAAATCAACAAAACTAACTCTCCCTAGAGAATGGGAGAAGATATTCCAAATGACATATCTGATAAAGGGTTAGTATCCAAAAAATATAACAAACTTATAAAACTCAACACTTAAAAATGAATAATACAATTAAAAATTGGGCAGAAGACATGAATAGTCCCAACAGATATATGAAAAGATTCTCCACATCACTGATCATCAGGGAAATACAAATCAAAACTACAATGAGATACCACCTCACACTGTCAGAATGGCTAAAATCAACAACACAAGAAACAACAGGTGTTGTGAGGATGTGGAGAAAGAGGAACCATCTTCACAGTTGGTGGAAATGGAAACTGGTGCAGCCACTGTGGAAAACAGGATAGAGTTTCCTCAAAGAAGTTGAAAATAGAACTACCCTATGATCCAGCAATTGCACTAGTAGGTCTTTACCCAAAGAATACAAAAATGTTAATTCAAAGGGATACATACCCTCCAATATTTATAGCAGCCTTATCTATAATAGCCAAATTGTGGATACAGCCCAAGTTCCATTGACTGATGAATGGATACCACATCTTCTTTACATATATACATATATATATGTATGTATATATACACATATATACATATATGTATGTTAACTTGTATAATATATAATGTATAATATAACTGTATAATATATAATTATACAGACTATATGTCTATATTACATATTTATATGTATATATATTTATATTATATTAAATATATAATATATAATAATATATAATTATATAATATATAATTGAATATTATTCAGCCACTAAAAATGAAATTTTGCCATTTGCAATGACATGGATGGAGCTAGAGAGTATTATAATAAGTGAAATAAGTCAGTCAGAGGAAAACAATATGTGGAATTTAAGAAACAAAACAAATGAGCATAGGGGGATGGATTAAATAGATGATGGAGTTTAAGGAGGGCGTATGTTGTGATGAGCACCAAGTGATGTATGGAAGTGTTCAAACACTACTTCGTACACCTGACACTAATATAACACTGTATATTAGCTAACTGGAATTTGAATATTTTTTTAAATAACAAGGCAACCTACTGAGTGGGAGAATATATTTGCAACAGAAAATCCAAGAAGTGGTTAAAATCCAAAATATGTATAAAATCTTCTACAACTGAACACCAAAAATACCACAAATAATCCAATTAAAAATGGACAGAGGACCTGATGGACATTTTTCTGAAGAGGATATACAGATGGCCACCAGACACATGAAAAGATTCTCAACATCACTATCATCAGGGAAATACAAAATCAAAGTACAATGAGGTATCACTTTTCACCTGTCAGATAGCTAAAGTCAAAAACACAAAAAATAACAAGTGTTGGTGAGGATGTGGAGAAAAAGGTATCCTCAAGCACTTTTGGTGGGACTGCAAATTGGTTTAGTCACTGTGAAAAACGGTATGGAGGCTCCCGGCGCAGCCGCGGTCCCAGCTGCAGCGCACAGCCTGGGTGGCTGGACGGTCCATGGGCAGCAGCGAGGGCCACGATGACAGATTACGGCGAGGAGCAGCGCAACGAGCTGGAGGCTCTGGAGTCCATTTACCCCGACTCCTTCACAGCTTGATTGCACATTGATCCAATCCTCCTAACAACTAGTCTTCCAAAATATAAATGGATTCTCCTGATACCACATTCTCCTTCAGTAGTGCTTCACTTGACAAGGCCCTGCTAAGTATTATCAGAAAATCCACCCAGTTTCACCATTACTGTGACATCTGAGGCTGGAGAAAATGATGAAACTGTCCAGACTACCCTCAAGTTTACATACAGTGAAAAATACCCAGAGGAAGCTCTTCTTTATGAAATATTCTCCCAGGAAAATCTAGAAGATAATGATGTCTCAGACATTTTAAAACTATTAGCATTACAGGCAGAAGAAAACCTTGGTATGGTGATGATCTTTACTTTAGTGACAGCTGTGCAAGAAAAAATAAATGAAATAGTAGATCAAATAAAAACTAGAAGAGAAGAAGAAAAGAAACAAAAAGAAAAAGAGGCAGAGGAAGCTGAAAAGCAATTATTTCATGGCACTCTTGTTACAATCGAGAATTTCTTAAGTTGGAAGGCCAAGTTTGATGCAGAACTCTTCGAAATTAAAAAGAAACGAATGAAAGAAGAAGAACAAGCAGGAAAAAATAAATTAAGTGGGAAACAGCTCGTTGAAACAGATCATAGTCTTGACACATCTGATATTCTAGATGAATCTCTGTTCCAGGAAATGGATGACGTGGAGCTAGATGACGATGAGGATGACCCCGACTGTAACCCAGCTGACCCGGACAGTGATCTGACCGACTAATGGGCCTTCCCCATCTGCACAGAGGGGTGACTGCCACAGCATCTGTGGCTGTCCTGGTGTGTGGATTTTTCTTTCTTTTTTTCTAAGAAAAAATAATTTCCAGGAGAATATTCTTCTGATAGCTCTCATCATTGAACTTAATAAACTGAACTTAAAGTTTCAAAAAAAAAAAACGGTATGGAGTTCCCACAAAAAATTAAAAATAGAGGGGGGCAGAGCAAGATGGCGGAGGAGTAGGAGACCTGGATTTCGTCTGGTCTCAGGAAGTCAGCTGAATAGGGATCAAACCATTCTGAACACCTACGAACTCAACAGGAGATCGAAGATAAGACTAGTAACAACACTCTGAACAGAAAACCGGCCACTTTCTGGAAGGTAGGACATGTGGAGAAGTGAATCCGAGGCTCGGTAAGATAGACAGCGGGGGGCGAGGGGCCTCTGTCGGCCGCTTCTGGCAAGTGATAGAGCCGCGGAGCACAAAATTGTAACTTTTAGAAGTCAGCTCCACTGAGGGACGTCGCTCCAGTGGCTAAGCGGGGGGTGGAACCCTCGCGGGACAGTGTGGTCTCAGGACCCTCGGGGTCACAGAGAGACCGGGGGTGCCTGAGTGCGGCAGAGCTTCCAAGGTATTGGAGTGAGGAAGCCGGCTGCAGAGACAGAGCCAAGGCGCGGGCTCTCAGCTCGGGGTTGCCATAAACTGTGATCCGCAGGCCAGTCGGGCTACTGCTCCGTCAGCAGGGACCCAACAAGCGGCAGATCCGGGGAGACTCCCCTTCCTCCCCCGGGGAGGAGCGGCGCGGGAGCGCACCGCAGGGATCTGCTGGGTTTGGAGACTCCACACGGGGTCGGGTGCCAGACATAGAAACGCTCGATCACAGGCCGGGTGAACATGGAGTGCTGCCGGAGACTGGGGAGACGGGAGTGACTGCTTTTCTCTGGGGGCGCACTGAGGAGCGGGGCCCCGAGTTCTCAGCTCCTCTGGGTGGAGATTGGGAGGCCACCATTTTCGCCCTGGTCCTCCAAAGCTGTACCGAGAGCTTGCAGGGAACAAAAGCTCCTGAGAGCAAACCCGAGCAGCTTGCTTAGCCCGGACTCACAAGGGCGGGGCAATTCTGCCTCCGGCAAAGACACTTGGGAGCCACAGCAACAGGCCCCTCCCCCAGAAGATCAGCACGAACAGCCAGCAAGCCAAGACCCAAGTTTACCGATCAAGGAGAACGGGAGAACTCCAGCGCTAGGGGAATACTGTACATAGAATTCATGGCTTTTTTACCATAATTCATTAGTTTTTCAAAGTTAATTTTTTTAACTGTTTTTTTTTGAATTTTTCTTTTTCCCTTTTTCAAACAACATCTTATCAATCCCTTTTTTAAAAAAACATTTTTTATTTTTCATTTTTAGAGTCATATTTTTATCCCTTCATTGTAGTTACCCTTATTTTTGGCATATATATATATAAGTTGTTCTCTCTTTAAAATTTTGAGATACAATTTCTTCTAACAGATCAAAATATACCCTAAATCACTAGTGTATGGCTTTGTTCTATTCTCCTGCCTGATCACATTCTCTCCCTTTTTTTTTCTTTTTTCTTTTTCTTTTTAAATCTTCTTCTTTCTTTTTAAAAACAACTTCTTATCTTATCAATTCCTTTTATAAAATTTTTTATAATTTTCATTTTTACAGTCATCTGCCATCCCTTCATTGTATCAACCCTTATTTTGTACATATATAAGTATTTCTTCCTTTAAAATTTTAGCAGGTACTTTCTTCTAACAGACCAAAATATGCCCAAAAGCTAGTGTGTGGCACTGATCTATGCACTACCCTGATCATATTTGATCATATTCTGTTTTTTTTGTTTTTTTCTGTTTTTGTTTGTTTTTATCTTTTTCTTTTTTTCTCTCTCTTCTTTCTTTCCCTTTCTTGTCCCCTGGTTTCAGGTCTTTTCTGATTTGTATAGAGTATATTTGCTGGAGACATTGTTAACCTGTTAGCATTCTGTTCTCTCATTCATCTGTTCTCCTCTGGACAAAATGACAAGACGAAAAAAATCACCTCAGCAAAAAGAACAACAGGTAGTACCGTCTGCCAGGGACCTACTCAATACTGACATTAGTACGATGTCGGACCTAGAGTTCAGAATCATGACTTTAAAGATACTAGCTGGGCTTGAAAAAAAGTGTGGAAGTTATTAGAGAAACCCTTTCTGGAGAAATAAAAGAACTAAAATCTAACCAAGTCGAAATCAAAAAGGCTATTAATGAGGTGTAATCAAAAATGGGGGCACTAACTGCTAGGATATATGAGGCAGAAGAAAGAATCAGCGATATAGAAGACCAAATGATGGAAAATAAAGAGGCTGAGAAAAAGAGAGATAAACAACTATAGGATCATGAGGGCAGAATTCGAGAGATAACCAATACGATAAGATGAAACAACATTAGAATAATTGGGATCCCAAAGGAAGAAGAGAGAGAGAGAGGGGCAGAAGGTATATTGGAGCAAATAATAGCAGAGAACTTCCCTAATGTGAGGAAGGAAACAGGCATCAAAATCCAGGAGGCACAGAGAACCCCTCTCAAAATCAATAATAATAGGTCAACACCCCAACATCTAATAGTAAAACTCACGAGTCTCAGAGACAAAGAGAAAATCCTGAAAGCAGCTTGGGAGAAGAGATATGTAACCTACAATGGTAGAAACATTAGATTGGCAACAGACCTATCCACAGAGACCTGGCAGGCCAGAAAGGACTGGCATGATATCTTCAGAGCACTAAACAAGAAAAATATGCAGCCAAGAATACTATATCCAGCTAGACTCTCATTGAAAATAGAAGGAGAGATAAAAAGCTTCCAGGACAAACAAAAACTAAAGGAATTTGCAAACACAAAACCAGCCCCACAAGAAATATTGAAAGAGGTCCTCTAAGCAAAAAGAGAGCCTAAAAGCAGCATAGATCAGAAAGGAACACAGACAATACACAGTAACAGTCACCTTACAGGCAATACAATGGCACTAAATTCATACCTTTCAATAGTTACCCTGAATGTAAATGGGCTCAATGCCCCAATCAAAAGACACAGGCTATCAGATTGGATTCAAAAACAAGACCCATCAATATGCTGTCTGCAAGAGACTCATTTTAGACGCAAAGACACCCCCAGATTGAAAGTGAGGGGGTGGAAAACCATTTACCATGCTAATGGACACCAAGAAAGCTGGGGAGGCAATCCTTATATCAGACAAATTAGATTTTAAACCAAAGACTGTAATAAGAGATGAAGAAGGACACTATATCCTACTTAAAGGTTCATCCAACAAGAAGATCTAACAATTGTAAATATCTATGCCCCTAACGTGGGAGCAGCCAATTATATAAGGCAATTAATAACAAAAGCAAAGAAACACATTGACAACAATACAATAATAGTGGGGGACTTTAA